TGTTCAAGCTCTAAGAACTTGTTCAATCCGCTCGTCCTAAAAGCGAAAACGAATTGCAGGCCTTGCATTGTCATCTGATTGAAATGGAAGACGTATCAATGGTGAACTTGATTTTATTAATATATTTAATGCTAGTTTCTGCTGGATGCATTATTTTTTTCGTACGATTTCTCATAATGGAGTATAGTAACCATGAGCTGAGTCGAAAACACAAACCCTATGAGGAACAGTTTTCAAGGTGAATATGAGGGTATGTATAAGTATTGCATTATTTAGATTTTGTGCTTAAATCGCTTTGTCATTAAATAAATCTGAGCTAATTCTGCTGCAGGACGTTGAGACAAAAATGTTTACATTTTCATGCATCTCCACGCATAAGCTGCATAACGATTCCATAAATGGAGACCTTTTTGCGTCTGCATACTTCTTTTTGGCCCACTTTCAAAACGTATTCTGAGTTGCAAATGCAGTTTCTTTGCAGGTCATACATACTTCATCTCAAAGGTGAAGGAACAGAAAACATGTAATTTTCTCGACGGCGGTGGCGTTGAAATGAAACTTAAACTTCTTACATACACGGAAATTCTTGTATTTTTTGCAGACACTGAATGAAGGTTCTAATTTCTTGAAGAGAGTAGCTCCTTGCTGCTTAGTGGCCACAATGACAATTCTCATTATATGCGGCAGAACTGTCAGTTGGTAAATAAATGAAAATAAGAAATACGTAATCAGTTCTTGTTGTTCAAAACTGAGATATGGACCGGACTGGATTAGCCATTACTTTAGATTAAAGGTTATAAAGAAAATGACGGAAGAAGGTTGACTCTGCGCTTCTCACGCAACGCTGTAATCAATTCATATTATATACTAAGTGACATATAAATCCGAACACCCAGTTTAAATGGTTTTATTTTGATAAAAGTTAGTGAATGTATTTATCTTACTGTAAATAATAAGTGAAAAAATTTGCAGCCCTATCAGTTGGACATTCCGGTTTTTATACTGCTTTTTTTTTAATTCACTAACGCGCTAAAAATGAATATTTCAGCCGCAGTAAAGAATCAACGTTGGCGGATTTTGGTTCTTGACATCCTTTACGATCGGTTACGATGCCTAGAGTACGGAGACCTGTACGATTTCGTCAACTTAGTGAGTTTGATAGGGGCCGTATAGTGGGACTTCGGGAAGCTGGACTTTCTTTTCGGGCAATTGCAGTTAGAGTGCAAAGAAGTGTAGACACTGTGGTTAGGTGTTGTCAGGCATGGCTTCGAGAAGGCCGTACGCAAAGAGCAAGGGGCACTGGACGCCGCCGTAGAACAACAGACCGTGAAGATCGCCGCCTAAGATTATTGGCCTTAAGGGACCGTTTCTCCACTACCAGGTCCATTGCAAATTAATGGTTTGCAGAACACGGAAAACCTATTGGCATGCGAAGTGTTTACCGACGAATGAGAAGTTTTGGCTTGTTTTCGTACCGGCCACACTGGGTCCTCCCTTTAACTCGAGAACACAGACGTAATCGCCTTGAGTGGTGCAGACAACGGTCACTCTGGGATCAGGAATGGAACAGTATTGTCTTTAGTGATGAGTCTCGATTTTGTTTAGGCATGCACGATGGTCGTGCCAGGGTTAGAAGGCGACGTGGTGACAGGAGGAATCCACAGTTTCTTGTTGAAAGACATGTTCATCGCACTGTTGGAGTTATGGTTTGGGGTGCTATAGCTTATGGTTCCAGGTCACCTTTAATCTTCATCACAGGTAACATGAACGCGCAGCGTTATATCCACGAAGTTCTAGAACCCCATCTTTTACCCTATCTTGACACCCTGGCAGATCCAACTTTCCAACAAGATAATGCCCGACCACATATTGCAAGAGTCACAATAGACTTCTTTCAACATAATGATGTCACATTGTTACCATGGCCACCTAGATCTCCCGACTTATCCCCAATTGAGCACGTGTGGGATATGATGGGTAGGAGATTGCTCAATTTGCAACGTCCTCCTCAGACTCTAGAAGCACTTCGAGAGGAGTTGGTGGTTGCCTGGAATGAGATACCACAGGAGAACATTGACCACCTGATCAGAAGCATGCCTAGGCGCGTTGGAGAATGCGTAGCACATCAGGGTGCATCCACACATTATTAAAGGTCAAAGGGCTTTAAAGCAGTGCAATCATTTTGAATTGTTTATCATTTACTTATTATGCTTCATTAAGTACTTATACAAAATTTTATTAAAATAAAACCATTTAAACTGGGTGTTCGGATTTATATGTCACTTAGCATACTATGCTCGGCACAAGTTAGCCCCTTTTGAAAAGCTTTCTTTTCATTTTTGCAATGGTCAAGGTTCACCAGTAGCAGCGGCTAGCTCGCGTGAGGATTAATCTATCCTTCTTACTTTCGATGTATAAGTATACCTACAATTAGTCCATAAATATCCTTTTCCTGTTCTACCGGTAGCTATTGTCCATCTGGCAACGTTGTTCCACAGCTACAGCGAGTTGTTGTTCATTATGTGCATGGTCGTTGTGTATGTTTTCTGCGCTACAGTACGGATGAATGAATCGATCTTACCGGTTCGCCGGGCGATGAGCTTAGCAGAAGTACGCGGATAGAAGCGGGGAAATTTATGATGTATGAACTAATACGGCTAATAGGTGCATATAAATACTGGGGTTGGAAGCGTACAAAAATACTAAGATCAACACATTTTCATATACCGTCTTCCACCCCCTACAACCCCCACATTTCATTTCCGAGAAAATTTATTCTGAAAATGATCAGAGCCCTCTGAAATGTCAGAAGACGAAGTTTGTGGGATTTTGATTTTTTTCGTTTTTGGCCTTTTTCTCCGCTACTGGACCAATTTCCAAAACCTAATATGCTTTTTCGTCCTAGGCATAGTAGCAACCTTGTGTGGCGATTTCATCAAAATCCGAGCGGTACTTCTCAAGTTATAGACGCGCTAAGGATTAGCCGACATAGAGACCGACGGAAATGAGGGACATGTTTGGTGAATCGTTTGCCAAATTGAAATGGCGGACAGGGGAGGTCTTTTTCTATCACCCCAGGTCCCTCAAACAGTATGTCCACCTAATGACTGATTTATCTTAATGGGTGATGTTGTACCAATCTTACAAAATCAACATTACTTGCCAGCAGCATATAGTTTTTTATTTGTAAACTCACAAAGGGTTACAAAGAAGAACAAAAAAATGTAACTCTCAATTTTGAATTGCTGTAAAAAATAGAGGACAGCAATACGAACAAGATTTGTGAAACAGAAAAAATAATAAATGATTGAAATTTGATTTTACACGTTTTTTTTATTTTCCTTCCCATGTACACAAAATTTGCAAGTTCAATAAGTTGGTTAAACTTTTTTGTGACTTGTGGCATACCGTTAGAATCGGGATAAACTAGAGTAGTTTTTAAGAGAATTCTAAGAACGTGAACGCTTTCAGTTTTTTTTTACAGAAATTCAAAATTGAGACTTACATTTTTTTGTTCTTCTTTGTAACCCTTTGTGAGTTTATAAATAAAAAACTACATGCTGCTGGCAAGTAATGTTGATTTTGTAAGATTGGTACATCACCCATTAAGATAAATTAATCATTAAGTGGACATACTCTTGGTTTTTTTATTATTTCACTTTGTCTATATTACATTTTGGAGTTATTACTAAAAAAAAAATAAAAAATCTACATAATTAATTCCGTTGGGCTAAAAACTGTTTGAGGGACCTGGGGTGAATGAAAAAGACCTCCTCTGTCCGCCATTTCAATTTGGCAAACGATGCACCAAACACCCTGTATATCACCCAAGAAACAACTCATTTTTTGGATTTTTCTCGATGACAATACTTCCTCGGCCAGTGGCGTAGGAAGGAAAAAATGCATATCACATATTTTTCGTAAGTTCAATGTGGATTATTAATGTACATCATAAAGATATTACCAATAGCTTAAAAGCAAAACCCCGAAAATAAGGATCTCCCCCCTCCCTCATCCCTCGCTGACTCACCTTCTAGAGTCGGGGACTTCTAGTATGTTTATTTGGACACCTCAAGGAATAAAAGAATAGCTGTACAAATTTTCAACACTAACCGAATTATTTGGTCTGGTCGACGTTTTATAAGATAATTTTCTGAGACTATTAATTCTGGATCGGTCACAAGAGTTATGTATCAGGTTCTATGTGCGCTACTGGTGTTAATATAGTGTCAAGGTTCATCCAGCAGACATAGAAGAAATTTGTTTCCGGGTGACCAGGCCATCGAAATAGGATTACGACGCCGAGCTCCGCGTATCCAAGGGCTTCTTCCAGACCGATGCAGCAAAGACGGACGACAAACAGACTGTCGGCGACGCGGCATAATACAAAACCGAGTGTTCAGAGAAGTCAACGGGCGGTAGCGGTAACTGTATGCATATACACTGACCGACATAGATATTTCGGTTGCCTTGATTAGGTATTGCGAGCTATACAGGTATTAGGGAACCCCATCCTTCAGCAGAACAGTAAGTACCTGGGTCAAAACCACCAAGGTGGAAAATTAGCTTCCGTAGCTAGCTAATGCCTAAATTCGTTATTTTTTTAAAATATTTATTGTCGATACTTATAGCTGTGTAATCATATTAACAGTACATACTATTTTCATACTTCAAAGGTAAACCATGTTCATGATTATTTGACCAAATAAGTGCAAAAATCATTTCGAGAACGTGTCCTAAGTACCATTTTTTATAAACTAACACCACAAATATCCATAAAATGGAATTAATCTAGGAGTTTTTGTTATTTATTAGCCTTAAATTTTATCTGACATCAGGAATTATATGCATTATTAAAGAAAAAAAAAAGAATTATAAGAAACTCAAGACAAAATATTATGTCCGGTAATGTAAGCGTCATTTGAGTGAACGCAGCTCTGATTACCCTGAAGAATCGTGTTGTTGAACGCAGCCTCTAAATGTCTATGGTACGGTGTAGTGGAACATGTAGACAAAGTGGCCATCAAACGATCTTTCCGGCAAAATAATTGGCAATAGGTGGTAAGTACGTTTCTATTTATTATCCACAGAGCGTACATCAATAGGTCATCATTCCGGGAATACGTTTGTTAACTTGGAATATTGAAAAAATGCGTTTCATAGTCTTTATGACAAACACTAACCTGAAATATTTCACATTAACCAAGCCAAACATGACGCCAAAGATGGCCGCTGGCTAAAAAGGGCGCGTTTATTTGAAAAAGTCATTCCGGGAACAGTCATTTTGGGAACGCTGCCGGACTTGACGGAGCGTTCCCGAAATGATGATGACGTTCTCGTGATGACTATTTAATTACCCGAGTAGTTTATGTTATAACTATTGCTTAATTAATGTAGTGCATGGTGCGCTTAAATAGTTTTAATACATGGTTTTTTCTAGCAATATGGAGTCCCGGGATGCTGCAACAAAAAGAAAACTTTCTAAGAAGCAACTTAAAAAAAATAGTTCAGCTTACTTGCGCCAACGAGAAAAAGCCAATGCAAGAAAAAAGAAATTCTTAGATAAGATGACAGAGGAAGAGATATAGACCAAAAGGGCTAAGGATAGAGCATACTATCGGAAAAAGAAAGCTGAGAAGAAAGTTAAAAACATTGCTGAGATGACTGAAAGAGAAAAGCGAAAGCAAAGAAAAATTTGGAAACAAGCGTCAAAGAAATACAGAGAAAAGAAAAAGACATTACCAACTATACTAAACAATACTCCGCCACATTCCGATGATGAGTTAGCTGCAACACCTTCAGTAAGAAAAACAGTGGGTAGAAAAATTGTGCGGAAGGACAGAGCCAAAGCATATCGTAAAATCAAACAACAGGAGAAAACAATTGCTAAAATTACACGTAAATATGAAACCTTGAAGAAAAAACTAAGAAGAAAAGAAAATAGAGAACAGGAGAAATCTCAGCCACCAACAACTCCTAACAGCAAGGTTGACGCATTGATAAAAAATGTTGACGTCCCTCCTGAGGTGCGCAAGAATCTTCTATTTAACGAAGTACTGACTACGCAATTAAAAGAAAAAGCTGGTAGTTTGAAAAAAAACTCTAAAGAGAATGAAGTCTTCCAAAAATGTGTCAGCGGTGATTTGGTAAGGAAATACAAATTGCTTCATATGGTTAAGACTTTTTTGCCAAAAGAAAGAACCAGTACATCGATTTTGAAGTCGGATACCAAAATTCGTGAGGTTGTGTTGAAGCACGATATTCGTCAAAAAGTTGAAGATTTCTTCCAGAGTGACGATATCAGTAGGATGTGCCCAGCTAAGAGAGATTTTGTGAAAAACCACTTTGGGTGGTATCTCCAAAATTAAGAGACAGACAAACTTGTTTGTGTGTCAAACACGAAAATTATGAATTCAAGCTGAAAAAATTAAAAAGCTTACACCAAATTGCTCAAGGGAGTGTAGAGAAAAATATCGATGAGTATAGTGGCGACATAACTTCTTATGACTGCATGAATGGTATATGTGATAAATGCAACAATCCTACGCTTGAGCCAACTGATAATACAGATTCTGTTAAATATTTCCAATGGAAGTCTGTTATTGAAGAAAAAATTGTAAAGGGCCAGAATAAGAAGTTCAAGATCACGAAAAAAGTTACAATTTCAAGTACAGTCAAAGAATTAGAAATATCTTTTATTCAAGACATTCCAGTTATGAAAAAACATTTATACGGCATTTATAAATACAACAAATTGAAAAAAGAGTTGAAAGAAAATTTAACTGAAGAAGAGATTTTGATACAGATAGACTTTTCGGAGAATTACACAAGTAAATACGCAAGCGAAATCCAGTCGACTCATTTTGCAAAAAAACAATTGTCTATTCATACAGGCGTCTATTATATACGGAACGTTGACAATATTTTACAATCTAAATCTTTTGCTACCGTAAGCGAAAACTTGGATCATCAAGCTCATGCGATATGGGCTCACATGAAACCGATCCTACAAACGGTATTGGAAAAAAAAGATATTAACGCCCTTCATATCTACTCTGATGGTCCAACATCCCAATATCGCAATCGAACTAATATACATCTCTGGTTACAAACATTAATAACTGAATTCAAGCAGATAACCAAATCTTCTTGGACGTACAGTGAACCTGGGCATGGCAAAGGACCTATGGATGGCGTAGGTGGTGCTCTTAAACGGATTGCCGACAGGCATGTTTTAATGGGACGAGATATTCAAACAGCCTCAAACTTAATAAATTTATTCACGGATTCTACTATTTTAGTAAAAGAGATTCCTGATGAAGACATTTCTAGCGCAAAAGATTTAGTTCCGAAAACATTAGATGCTATACCAGGTAGCATGAATATTACAAGGATTACATGGCAAAGAGGACCAGACGTTACAATCAAACTGTACCGACATGAACGTTTTGAAAAGCAACTAAAAATGTCTACATTATCTTGCAGCTTATATCCGAAGTTTGAACCAATAAATATGGGAATACTGTCAAGGAAGTCTCCTCAACCGAACGAGTCGATGGATATACAAGATCTACTGAAATCAAAGAAACGGAGTATCTATAAAAGCATTTATTATTCATCATCATCCGATGATGATGATTTAATGTCGATTTCTGTCCGTCAACAGACTGCGCAAAAGTCAGTTACTGTTGAAGCTGGTACATCTTACATTGAAGGCAAGGAAAACCTACACCCAAATTTGATATCCCCTGGAACATTTGTATTAATTAAAGTACCTACACAAAACAAAACTGTCAATTACAGATATGTTGCCACCTGTAAGACAGGTGTCGATAAAGATGATGGAGAAATCCTAGTCACTTACTTAAAGTCGGTATGTAATAGTGCCAAAAAATTCAAATTAAATTTGAGTGACGTATCCTACATTACATTTGAGCAAATAATTAGTATTATTCCAATGCCATTACTAAAAAAAGAAAATAATCGAGAATATTATTACTTTGATACTGACATTGATGTTTATGAACAATTCTAATTTTTATTTAATTTTATATAGTATATATCCACGTGTTTGATTATTGTATGATTAAGAAAGCTTGTTTTTGTTCAAAAGTTTAATTTGAATTTACTATATAAATACCTTTTAGTAACATGTTTACATCTATAAATAATATATGTTTACGTGTTTAATTAATATGGTTATAGGAACTTGTTTTTGTTTAAAAGTTTAATTTGCTTTTACTGTTGAACTATCTATAAGTAACATGTTTAGATGATTTGATTATTATTTATTACCAACAAGATTAAACTTGAATATGATTATGAAAAATCTTTGCTTGGTTGATTGTAAGACTGGAAAAATGTGATTTAAGTTATATTTTTGTCAAGAATAAACCTTCTGCCAAGTACATAAATAAGTATGCTATCCAAAAATTTCTTTTTTCATCGTCTAACATGGATTTTATGTGTACCGTCATTTCGAGAATACATTCATCATTCCGTGAAGGCCTGATTATTTCCGGGAACATCACTAAATCATGGATAAAACATTATTATTTTGAATATTCTGAAAAAGGCCCTAGTAATATAAAAACTAGGCCAACTTTTAATGCGTACAACTTACTCATTTATATATAAATCAGCAATATAAGCATATTTAGATAATTTAATACAAAGAAATAGTCAGATGGCTCCATTTGTAACGACATTTTGCTTTTAAATATTTGTTTTTGCAATTTTGTTAGAATTTTTTTATTTCCTACTATTTTTCACATACTTCCGCTACTGAACAGAGTAAAGAAGAAATACTGAAGTTATATTTAAATTTTAAAATGAATGTCACAAAAACGTTCCCATAATGACTCTTTTCGGCGGTTGCTCAATTTAAAAATCAAATTACAACAATAATAATTAATTCTATGCTCTGCCAACGTAAATATTGTTTAAACACAAGTCTAGTGATCATTCTAGATAATCATTAAAGTAATCGTTGCCAGTTATTTTTTTATGAAATAGAATTTGGAATTTGCCACCTTGGTGATTTTGACCCACCTATTCTTTCTGTTTTGCAAGCACTAGCAATTATAGGTGAATTCCTTTTCAGTGCGTAATTATTGATAAGGGTAGTGATGAGTTGTCTAATAATGTTCACATGACATCGTTCAGCTTCTGTAGTGAGGGTAGCTAAGGATGTGTTTTTGACATTCAACCTTCCCCCATTTACTTGCAATTCAGAAAATTTTGGTGAAAACGTATCTTCCTGAAACCTAATTAACTGTACACAGAGAGCCAAATAAAACAAGATATTTAAAAAAAGAATCACAATATATTATCAAAACAAGCAACACATATGCTCCACCACTGGAGTGCCAGTTAAAAGAAAGGATATTATTCAAAACCACCTGACAATAAAATTATTAGACCGTTATATTTAACCCTGCAAAACGTTTACCATGGTACATGTACGAAGGCTTTACAAATATTTTAATGCCTAAACCTAAGCTTATTTGGACAGTGATCTTCTTCCAGTTAGGGCGCAAGGCGCAGCTGAGATGTCCACAACTCACAAACGCTCAGATCAAAAAACAGTGGCCAGCAATGAGCAGTGACGTGAGGAACGTCACAAGGTAGGGGCTGCTTAAAAAATCTACGTTATATAAAAAAACCCTAGAGAGAGAAAGACTGCTTAAAAATCTACTCTCTGTCTGAGACAAAACTACTCATTTAAAAAACTTGAAGAGAAACCATGTAGATTATCTTTTACAAGAAAAGTAAATCATAGGCAAGAACTGATAAAAATGTACTAAATTGATATACCCCTCAGAAAGTTATTTATCCCTTGTTCTATGAAGATATGGCAGCTCAAAGATCAAAATCATAATCAATGTATGGAGTAAGCAGAAAAGAAGGTGACATGTAGGCATGGGGCATATTTGAATACGTAAAATGCCAAACAAAATCAAGTACACTGTAATAATTTGAGTCAATAACAATCAATATATCTATGAACTTCCCAATTAAAATAATATTTTACCTGTTGGCATCAGAGTTTTTTGTCAAGGGGAAGGGGTGGCTTCCAGCAAAATCGGCTGCGAAACAGCTACAAGGCAACTACAAAACAAATCTGGAGGAGTGTGAATGGTGGTTATCTGCAATGCCTTTAAACTAAAAGGGAGCAGATATTGAACAAATTTCTTCAGGACATGCATTAATGAACGTGGTCCGATGGTTTACAAAAAAGAACTTGCCGCTGAAGGTTAAAATCCCACAAGAAAATGGACGTAGTAGCACCCAAACCAACACAACTAAACGTAAGGTACAAAATAAAGGATGCTCCTCCATAATCTGGTGTTTGGGGCGTTAATAAATGGAAATTATTACCAACGAAACGACCAAAACCTCAACGGAAAGAAGAAAAGAAAAATGGTGCTGGACCCGTCTGTACACGCAATCTCTAAAACAAGGTTTGTTGTTACTAATTCAAATATTCCATACAGATTTTTAAAAGAAGGTATCTTGATAGGAAAGCAAATATTCTTATACGGCTAGTACGTGCGGAAATCATAAGGTGGCGCTGGTTGCCAATGGGAAAAACCAACTCTACGAGGGACCAATGATATTTTATGAGGAAATTTCTGAGACAATCGTTAGTAATACTATAATATTAGTGTCCAAAAGATTTCAACACAATACTGAATCGCTGAGAAAGAAAGATATAATACGTGTGAAATTATACAATCAATAAACTATGAAATTTATCAAAATAAAATCACGAAAAATGGTTTGTCCTAGAAATCGGCACTCTACCATTAATAAAGAGAAATTCAAATTACTAGTAAGTGATCAAAATAGTAACAAAGACGAGATTTTGGCACGTGACAACATTTCACAAGAAACCGACCATGAACATTAGATCCATAACTTCATAAACGCCTTCTCATTGATTGAATGTGTGCACATGGTGCAACTGTTCATTCCCGCGGATCAATAGTAAAATCGGGCCTAAGCGTCAGTACGGTACATTCAAAAAAGCATCCGGTTTTGATAAATAGCCAGCGGTTTATAAAAGATCATCAATTCAGCTGTTCTGCGACGTTTGCTGGAAATATGTCGACGGAATATGACGTTCTTGCTAAATTGACTTCTGTTTTTCGTCTTAAGTCAAGCAAACCACATGAACATTGAACTGCTGTGTTAATGTGAAATCGGCAATGTGAAGCAACATACAGGAATAAGCTTTTTCCCCGTTAATGCTTTGGATCAGCAAGCTACTGTACACTTCTGATAACGGCGAGATCTAGGCTTCGTTTTTGTGGCTGCTGGAAACCAGCTCATTCTTAGGGCCCAATCGTCGAATCCTTGGAAAATT